TTCCTGCTGGGTCATTTTTTAATCTGTCTGCTAGTCGTATTGCACAAAGTAAGTTGAAGTAACCTCAAGGGTTCCGTCATACCTTTGTCGATTACTGTTCAGGAAAACTCACAAGGACAATGCACGTCTCTTGTGCTGGAACGCTGACTTTGCCAGAGGAAAGGAGATTTCCAGAGAGGTTTAATTCCTCACATCTGAGGAACTGCAGAAGCAATTGCAGAAGGGACTGGTGTCTTGGAAGGTGGTGCAGCAAAGTGACATTTGTCAAAGAGACATTTCAGGACATGGTTTAGCAGGCACTGTGGTGTTGGGTTGAAGGTTGGGCTTGATGATCTTAGAGAGGTCTTTTCCAGCCCCAATGATTCTATAATGGTTCTATGATTGGGAGTTGATGGTGCTCCCCTCTTTCAGAGTTTGCCTGAGCCCATGGACGTACATGGTACAGCGGGCACTGAGACATCGGTGATTTTTCCTTCTCTCCCCCCAATGCATTAGGCCTAAGGAAATCTTTGAGATTTCTTCATTTTGTTACTGATCATCAGTGGGTGACTGAAACAAGCTATGCAAAGCAGTGGCTTAGTCCCAAATATTGCCTAAGCACCCGAATGAGTTTTCCATCTTGTAGTTCTTTGAGAAAGTCCAGGCTCTGTTCCTGAGACATTGCTGGTGAATATGAAGAGGAATGTCACAACTGTGTGCATCCCAAAATAGATGACAGCAGAAGTGTCTGAATGATTGCTGTTTGTTGGCCAACTTAGACTCTGTGTTGATACCAAACAGCATCCCTCAGCTGAGAGCTGGATCACTCAGCCAGAGAATTTAAATCTGCCATTAAATTTGTGCAGGAGGACTGGCAAAGGTCAGTTTAGCCCAGCAGCTCCTTCCACCTAGAGAGGAGCAAAGTCATGTGCCGGCTGCACTTGAATGTTGAGGAAACATCCCAGTGTCTGTCATAGGGCCACCACATTGACCGCTCTTGTAAGGGATCGCTTTTGTTTGTTTCCTTTTCAAGGGGAATGTGGTGCTTGAGGGAAAACGTGAGAAGCTATCGCCTTTCCAAGTCCGACAAGATTTGTGCTTGAGAGATACCTCACTGTCATTTAACATATGACATGATGTCCAGATCTGGATTTCAGTTGCCTGGGGCCCACTAGACTCCCCGCACAGCCTTGCAGATGGTCAACACCTGGCAGGAACCAGAAAATGTCAGAAAGAGTAGGTTTATGTATCATACAGATACACTGGACTGTGAAGTAGGGCATACATTCAGATAAAAAGAAGCCAGTTTGCAGTCAGTATCTGTATGCCATGAGATGAGGTCATTGTATTGGTCAGTGTTAGCTGTTGTGCCTGTCTTTTGTCCGACCGTGAGGTTTTTTTGTTGGTAGAAGCAGAACGTGCTTATCTATCTCATTCTGCAATAGACGGGGCGTGCCTGTCTGTCTGGATGACCCTAGGTGCCGTGAGTGCCTAAAACTGCCTGGGTGTGCCGCTCTCTCCTCCTCCACACTGAGATTTCCTTAGCACGTTCCAAAAGCGTATACTTGCATTTGCTCCATTATTACTATTCTTATTATTATACAGCGTTCACATGCTTCGTAGTGATATTTTAGGATCTGTGACTCACTAAACCATAATTTCCTGCTCACAGCTTACCTGAAGAAAAACGTCTTTGCGGGGTACTGTTCACGGCGGGGAGATGTGTTCTTGGGTGAAACTGTAAATATTGAGAAAGATACTGGACATATCTGTGAGATCTTCAGACCTTCCTCTAGCTGTGATCATTTGTGTCTGCCCAATGGGATGATTAATTTACAGACAGATGTAGGCCAGATTCCTTGCGTTTCAGGACAGTGCTATAAGGAAACTGGAAAGGCTTCAGAGGAGAGCTAAGGAGGCCAGGCATCTGGGCTCTGGTGATACATTTTTCTAGCTGAATGTGAATTTGTTGTAGCATTTGTGCTGTTGGGTGAGATTTTTTACAAATTTGAAACTTTAAGGGCTGCCATGAGGACTCCAGTCTATATGCATTCAAAACCATATACAATTTGGAAAGCAGTAAGGCTGTAAGGCCTCGGTCCAGCTCTCCTTGTGTGCTCATGGGAGCTGATGGGACTGTTGGCCATGGGCGAATGGTTTCATCAAGTTGTTCATGCATAGTTGTAGAGGTAAACCAGAAGCTTCACCCCTTTCCAAGTGGGCCAAAGCCAGATTGTGATGAAAATAGTGTCAAACCCTTGTGAATGGGAGAGGAGATCCCTAACTGCCTCCGTGCAGCTGGAAAGAGAATTCCCAGGCTGCAGTGAGCTTCCAGCATACGCAGCTGCTGCTGCGACGATCTGTCACCAGCTTAGTCAATCATCCATTATTTATTTCCAAATTGTATGTAAAGCTCTGCACCATGGCCTTTAGTCCATGTACAGGGAAAAGAAGAGACAGAGCTTCTGAAAGACCTGGGAAAACAAAAACAGAGAAGCCTCTGAAATCCTTTGCTTGGGAGATTGTCTTACGCAGTTACATCTAAGGAGGAGAGGAAAAGGAAATAAAATCATATGCAACAAAAGGTTGCCACCTTGGTACGCATTCCTTTGATCTCTCCATATCATTTGTTGCAGTCAACAATTTCTTTTAGCACAAGAGATGCTTTGTGTACAAGTGTTCTTCAAATGCGACACATTTCACTTTGAGAAGTGTTTATTGCCACGGTATGGGTTGTGTGGTCGGTCAGTCGATCCTGCTGGGCTGTTTGATGTCTGCTGATTGCGTGGTTGAGAATGGTTAATCGGGACGACAATGAATTTCCCAGGAGCAGTATACAATCAAGGAAGAACAGGCAACAGAAATGTTTGCAGGCAGAGTGTCTCTGTGACAAGCCATTCCTTGGACGTGTGTATGAGCAGCATCTTTGTCACAGAAATGTTTGCTGATAAAGAGTATTAAGAGGTAGATGGTTAAACAGAACAGCTGCTCAGAATTAAAATGACTGTTCCAAATTCTGTTTTTAATATACTGGTTTCTTTCTTTCTTTTTCATAAAGACGATAGCAAATTGCTAACTAAGAGGCTTAGCAGTGGAGGCTAAAGGAGCCAGGACGGGCCAAATCAAAAGCATTTATTATCATTCCCAGTGTTTCTTTTTGCACTTTAATGAAAAATGTGTACTCTGATTTGCAGAACGGTCGCACTGGAAGGCAATGCTGCCGACAAAGTTTGAGAAAGACTTTTAATGTCTTAAAATCAGTTATTGACAGCCAATCTGCAGGCTGCAACTATAATCTCTCAAGAGAACCCCAGCATTCTGGGAAAGTTCTTGCACTTTATTCAGGCTGGACTGAAGAGCGGCGGGGGGGGTTTTTCTGTTGCATGTGAAAAGAGTAGATTTGGAAAAAACCCCGCCCATATCTCTCTTATCAGGTTGATTTCTCTGTTGCATGTGAAAAGAGTAGATTTGGAAAAAACCCCGCCCATATCTCTCTTATCAGGCAGATACTGAGAATTTCAAAGTAGACACTCTTATATCTTTCAGCCCTCGTTTTTTCTCTATCTTATCTACCGGTGGCCAAGGCTGTCCTAATTCTGAAGGCACATCTATGCCAGGCGAAGGAGCATGGTGTGAGATTTTTGAGATAGCAGTGACCTAGATCTGACTTGAGAACAATGCTTTTACGGGACCCTAAGGAAACAGACCCTCGCTCCATCGCCCCAGCTACTGCTGCTCCAGAGAGACCTGCAGAACTGCTGAATGTTACGCTGCGGCAGTATGGGCTCGAGTTATCGTGCATTAGCTGCTCCACCATGTCTGGCAGGGTGCCTGTGCTGACCCTTCATGAAGGAGAAGTCACTCATCCCTCATTCTTGTAGTGCTGAAAGACTGCATATTGTGCAGCATCAGTGGGGAATAAGAGACTACATAGAAGTAGTTACTGCAGGGCTGCTCATGTCTGGCATCCTCTTACTGCCCAGGTACGTGGCAGATAGTTCAAGGTTAGTAAAGATCACTTAACTCCAAGAGGTGGACCAGATGACACCTGGCATTCAGATCTGTACAAGAATCCAGAGGAAGTCACTTGAATATGGGTCTAATCAGACATCATGTGAGCGTAACTGGAACATGCATTACTGAACAACATCAAAGAAAATCGAAAGTGCACTGACTCTCTGTAAGTCTTGA